GCAATCCCTTCTCCTCCATTCTCCTCGGGATCTTGGGCACACACGCCAGGCATGAGTTTAAGCCACCGGGTCCGGGACACGAACTGCGGTCGACTACGTGGGAGTCCAGCGACATAGCCATTACGCTAACTGCTGGTCCCCACACACATACTAATTAGTACTTAAGTGAACATTGAAGTGGGGTCTCTACAGATTGCCAGAGTTCCCTCTTACCCCGGCTGACCTTTCTGGTTCTCTTTCCTGTTCTTGGCCCCACAGGGCTTCCAGCTCCATCTTCTCAACTCAGTGAGCCCACTAGGTTGTGCCTGGGTTCCCCCAGTGGGAACCTTTCTTCAGATAAGCTAGAGCAATCACAGGGCTCGCCTTGATTATTTCTCATCTTTCAGGGAACTGTCCTGTTGGTCAGTGTCCTGAGAGACATATCATACATGTTTTTCATTTTTCAGTTGTTTCAAATAGAAGAGTAAATCTAAATAAATATAATCCCTGTTTCTCATTAAATAAAAGCTGAAGTCTCTGACCTCCATAACATTTTTGTTTTAGGATTTTGTCATAGGGCACGTGCACTTACCAGAGAGAAATAGAGAGAGGGAAAGTGAGAAATCACCCTTGCCCAGGGAGGATGGCCATGCCACAATCCCTTCTCCATTCTCCTCTAGGGACTTTGGGTATGCATGCAGACATGCCAAGTCATGATTTTCAAGCCACAGTGTCCAGGATTTGAATCACAGTCAGCCATGTGGGAGGCCAGCATCTAAACATCTAAACCACCATGCTGGCCCTACCTCAGTAACTTTTTTTTAGAATTATTTAATTTTATTTATTATTATTTCTAAAAATTTCCTATAGGGCACATGTGCTCACCAGAGAGAGAGAGAGAGAGAAAGAACGAGAAAGCAAGCCACCAGATCCAGGACCATGGTTGCCATGTAGGAGTCCAGACCCTTAACCACCATGCTACCTGCTGGCCCCAGCACCTCCGTAAGTTTTTTAACTGAGTGATTACATACATAAAAATCACTTTCGTCAGTTTATTTCCATACACGGTGAGACTATTGAGGTAATTATTAATTCTAGGCACTTCATAAGAGGTCTCCCACCCGCCATGTTTTCCTGCACCATTTTCATTTCCACCAAGAGAGAACAAGAGTGCTAGTTTCTCCTCATCCTTGCATGATTCCTACTCCTTTTAAAATAATTTTACTGGGCCAGGAGTTGGCGTGATTGTTAAGGCATTGGCCTCCCACACAGCTGACTGTGTTTCTAGTCCCAGACATGGCATCTTGGTTTCTCATTTTCTCTCTCTTCCTCGCTGTCTGGTAAGTGTATGTACCCTATAGCAAACTAAAAAATAATAATAAATAAAATTAAATAAATAATTCTTAAAAGACAAAAATTCTTTTACTGTACTTATTTTATAATCTTTTCAGATTGTACTATATTGAGTCATTGTGGATGTTAATCTTCCTCTTTGTTAAGTCTACTGATGGGTAAATATGGCAAATTGCTTATTTGACCATTTTGTATTTCTCTTTTTTTAGTTTGCTACAGGGTACCTGTGCTCACTGAAAAGAGAGAGGGAGAGTTAGAAACCACCCCCCTGGGAGAATGGTCATGCCACAATCCCTTCTCCATTCTCCTCTTGGGATTTGGGGCATGTACACACACGTTCCTAGCATGTTTTTCTTTCTTTCTTTCTTTCTTTTTTGAAGAAAGGTTTTTGCTATAGGACACATGCTTTCACCAGAAAGACATAGAGGGACAGAGAGACAGAAAGAAAGAAATCACCCCCTGGGGGGATGGCCACGCCACAATCCCTTCTCCTCCATTCTCTTCTCTGGACTTTGGGCACACACACATGCGCCCAGTAAGTTTAAGCCGCCGGGTCTAGGACTCAAATGGCAGTTGACTACGTGGGAATCCAGTGACATAACCATTATGCCATTTGCTGATCCTCCTAGCATATTTTTCAAGTCATCAGCTCTGGGATTGACTGATGTAGGTGACCCTGAGGGATCTAGCCGCCTTACTGACCATGCTACCTGGCTGCCCCATTTTGTATTTTTCCATTGCGAATATCCTGTTTGGTTTGAGTTATGCATTTACTTCTACAAAGGTATCACTTGCCCCAGACCAACTTTGGCATTGATTTCCTAGCTTGAAATCCCCATACTGGAAGTGTACAAATTTATATTTCCAATCTACTTATAGTATAGGCTTAGGGTTTGGATTTTTCATGGTAGACCTGCCATAGCCTTGACCCTAGGCATCAAGCATCCCAGTTAGAGACAATTTTTCTTTCTGTTTCCCTGGACTGACATGCTGAGTTTTCCTAATTTTTCTTCTGGATGGGGGAATGTCCAGTCTTTATGCCATTTCAACTCCCAGTACCAAATGGGCCCACCATCCCACCTCTTGTCATTATATATAAAACTCAAGTCCCAGCACTTGGGTCCTTTCCCTATCCAATGACCACCTCCAAGACACAAGAGACATCATGCCACCTCCTTGGTGCCCTATTTCCCTCCTTATTTCTGGCTCCTGAGTTTTTCCCTTGCAAGATCAGCAATGAATGGACTTGTCTTCCTTGCATGCTTGTGTCCTTTCTTATAATATTTTATGCAGGATTTCTAGGGACTGTGTTAGGAAGGGTTCTCTATTAACACAGTCTGACATGTCACTGGAACCAGAAGTGTGCTCACACATAAAGGGTACATCCTGATGATTTTCCTAAAATCCACAGACTACCCCAGTGATGAATTAAAATTTCCTATAGAAGCAGAAAGATGTAGGCTGCCTACAAACAACACTTTTCTCAATGTTTCCACTCATGAGCATTTCAGAAATTTGGGGTCCACTTTTGGGTAGACAATATGGAGAAGACACTGGTAGTTGTTAACCTGTAGAAGATGGGGGCTGTCACTAGAGAATTGGACTGGCTCCCTTGGTCCCAAAAGACTGGGACCAGCAGGGCATACTCTGGCTACGTGAGGCAGAAGCTTCTCGAAATCACTTTAACTTGAGCAGGACTCTGCATCCTTGAAGGTGTTCAAGCAAGCCAGGTGTCCTGACCACCAAAATGCTGTTGACAGGGAGAAAAATGTCTTATCAATTCAAACCCATGTTCGTTATTTGTGGTTAACTATTTGTCCTGGGTCTCACTAACTCAAATTCTACTTGTCTATCTCAATCACTGCCTAAAAGATGCATGTGTTATTGAGAAGCCATGTGTTTGTGTAGGTTCACCACTTTCTTTTAATCTTCTGAATACCTAAAATAAGTCTTCTGGAATCCAGAACAAGCAGTCTGGGTAGAGATGAGGGAAATCCGGGTGGATAGTTATGTGTGTACTGGTGTGTATAAAGAGGCTTCCACTGTTATGGCAACCAGCATCCTCAAGTGATGCAAACCTATTTCCAATAATGTGAGATGTGATTAAAAATTGACATTGTAGAAAGGAAGAACACATGTGCTGCGTTGGTGTGGTAGCCAGAATAAATTCTGCATAAATTTAAACTTGTTGGGGCCAGCAGGTGGTGTGGTAGTTAAGGGGGCTGGACTCCCACATGGTCGACCACGGTTCGAGTCCCGGACCTGGTGGCTTGCCTTCTCACTTTCCTTCTCTCTCACTCTGTCCCTCTCTGGTCAAATTAAAATAAATAAAGTTAAATTAAAAAAAAAAATTAAACTTGTTGATCACAGCAGTTTGGAGAATTTGCCCACAATTAATTAGGAATCCTTTTCTTGTCTACGCTGGGAGTCAGGGGCCTGAAATTCTGATCAGTGCCCTGACCTAAGGCCAAATAGACCTCGACTTCCTTGTCTGAAAAATAAGGGACTGGGGACCCGCAGTTAGCATAATGGCTGTGTCGCTGGCCTCCCACATAGTCGACCGCGGTTCAAGTCCCAGACCTGGTTGCTTAAACTCACGCCCGGCATGTGTGCATGCGTGCCCAAGATCCCGAGAGAGGAGTACGGAGAAGAAGGGATTGCGGCGTGGCCATCCCCCCTGGGGGGTGATTTCTCACTTTCTGTCTCTGTCTTTCTCTGTTTGTCTGGCGAGCACACGTGCCCTATAGCAAAAACCTCTCAATAAATAAATAAATAAATAAGGGACTAAACTAAATGAATGGTGCAGAAAAGGAGGCTGGAGCCCTGTACTGTACCAAGAGTTGCCTTGTTTTCATCTGGATGCAGTTGTCATTTAGTCAATCAACAACACACAAATACTGAGCACCCTCTCTGTGCTAGTTAGTGAGGATACAAGAACTAAGGTATTTCCTCCCGTTGGAGCTTGCGGTCTCAACCTCTCAGATTCCTCAAATCGGTGTGAAGTTACTGCTGTAGTATGTGTAAGACAAGAGTCTATTAACGAGAAATTTGGTTAAATAGATTGGTCAAGAGAATCGAAGCACAGAGGAGAGTGTCTTGCTCAAGGGAACACCAATACAACAGGAGCCATTACTGAAAACAACCATATGCCAGAAAGCAGGTGATGGGCTTCACCAGGTCAGAAATGGAAGGCCAGGAGGACAAAGTGCCTTTCCCCAGATCTCACTATCAGTTAGCAGTGGGGTCATCCTCCAAGCCAAGCAGAGCAGGTGTGAAGATTCCTCTCTGGCCACACACACTGCACTTTTCCTGAGGCAGTTTTCTGAGCTCCTCGGTTTCGGTTCTCCAGGTGAGCAGGCGCGGTGGGAAGGCATTGGACAGGGCAGCCACCTGGCTAGGGAGTGTGTGGGGCTGCAGCCTAGTCTTTCATTCCCCTCCCCAGCTCGAGGGCCCACCAGGCTCTCGCTCCGTTCTGGCTGTCCCCGCGCCCCATGCGCACTGCTGGCTAGGATGCAAACTGTGGGGGCCAGGAAAATATCTCGACCCGCACCGCCAGGGCATAGGAGGAAGGTAAGAAAGAGGGTGCGTACCAGCAGCTCTGCCAGAACTCAGGCTCCGCGTTCTGCGTCCAGCGGGGAGGCGGGCCCGCCCCCCTGTGCGCGCAGGCGCGCGCCGCTCCCGGTTCGGACCGCAGCTCGGCACTGGGCGGCCACGGGCTGGCCTTGCAGGTAAGCCTCCCCGCCGGCGAGTGGGCTCGACCCCGCGGTCCCGCGCCTCGCCAGCCCGCCCCGCTCACGCCTGCCACGTCACTTGGAGAGGCGCAGGGGGGAGGGCGGAGGCTTCGTTTTTGGATAAATGCAATAATTTAAGAGTTCTTCATTCATGGAAGAGAAGGCGAAGAGGGCGGGGTTTAGGTTTTCTTAGGAAATGGGTCATTTGGCAAAGTTTCCTTTCCCTAGCATCAATTTTTGATTTTTATAACGGAAAATGGGATTTCTTGTCGCCTTTTTTTTTTGCCATAAAAAGAAAGAATTTTTAAAACTCCGCCATTTTGGCGTTTTAAAAAAGTAACCGTTCTGCAGAGCAGACGGATCAGGGACCGCCCCGCCTGCTGTTTTCTGTTTGGGTCCGGGGTGGCGAGTGGCGGGGGGGATCCTCAAACCCTGCGCGCAGGGCCGCTTCCACCCTCTCCCACGTCTCCGCGGCAACTGCGGGGCGGGGCGGGGCCGAAGCCCCGGGTTCGCGGCACTCAGTCTCGCTCTGGCTGTGGGTGCTGGGTGCGGGGTATCAGTCTGAGCGCTAGCTCTCTATCTCCAGCACCTAGATCGAGGGCATTTATTGGGCGTTTGTGGTATACAAGGCCTTGAAGGGCAAGGGGTGGGGGAAACCTTGGCAGACACAACATGGGAAAATAAACATGGACCCATTCATTCAGTTAGTGAGCACCTGCTATGTGCACTGCCCTGGGTTGGGGACACAGTGGTGGTTTGGGGTCTGATTCTCTGTAAACAGGCTCCAAGAGGGAGATTTTGAGTGTGTATCTCGGACAGGCTGTGGGATTATCCCCTGGAAGGGAGTGAAGACGGCAAGGTTGGACAGAGGAAGATGAGCTGGGGATGTGGTCTCAACAGAGGCCTCCACCTGTTGCCAGAGTAGCTGGGAACTGAGGGCCCTGCAGAGATGCCTGGAGTTAAGGCGAGAGGTGGGTCTTTATACCCCGTAACAACCAATCCCTGGATTGCTGCTGCCAGAGCAACTCCAAGGGAAGCTGAGAGCTGAAAACTTTCTTCAGGTGTCCTGCAGAAGCCCATACTCTGGATTCCCCCTTTTACCTCATTGCAGCCTCTTAGTCTTTTTTGTTAGGTCCTCTTCCTTTCCCAATCTGTAAATGTTGGGGTGCTCCAAGGCCTGTATGTATGTGTGTGTGTATAGTTTTCAGAAAAGTCTTGACATACTTTTCTATATAATAATGCACTATGACTTTTCTAACAACCCAGTATATCTCCTGAGTTCTGTGTGTTTTTAGTTTATTTATTTTTTTCCATGAAAGGTAGAGAGCATAGTGGTGGTGTAAGATTCAAGAGAACCTGGATCCCTCACGGTAACCACCATTCAGATCTCTGGCCTGGTCAGCCTGAGACACACTGGGCATGTGAGCACATGCCCAAGATCCGATGGGCTGGAGGAAGAGGATGACAGTGTGACCAGACCCTGTGGAGGATGCCCCTCACTTTCATACACACACACTGTGTGTGATGAATAAAGAAAAAGTATTGTTTTTTAAAATGGAGAGAGAGAGAGAGAGAGGGAGACAAGCACCCACTCTGGGGTCTACATGCCCCAATCCACACCCTTCTCAGCCAGTCCAGAGCAGGGTAATATGTAAAAGGAGGCCCTGCTTAGGCCTGGGGACTCTCTTTCTCAGGTGGGCCTGGTTGCTTTACCACTGTGCCACTGTCTGGTCCCTGTTCTGGTTGTAGATTCCGTCTCTTTGACTGGTTCTCTCCATTCCTAGCTCTGTTACCTTTAGAATCCAAGCTTAGTGAGAACACTTGTCTTATTTACGTAGCCCAGAGCACAGGATGGTGCTGGCACCTAGTCAGCCTCCCAGTATGCACTGAGAGAAAGGCAGTCCTGTCAGCTCCTCTTCCCTGATAGACCTGGCACACGTGATGAGTTTGGAAACACAATAGAATTCTTTTAGAAGCAACCATATTCACTCGTATTGACTGGCAATGTTGAATAAAAAGATGAACTCTATTTAAGAGAATATAAAATGGTACAAGTACTTTAGCTGTGCAAAGAACATCATTGGAATGGAAATTTAGGGAGCTCTGTTCTACAATTTTAGGAAGTAGGGAAACACATCTCGGTTTGAAAATTGCTTTAATTAATCAGTATTTAACCTTTGCCTATCTGATTATATGTATAGTATATGCTTCTATTATTATATACCTCTGTAATATAGAAGATGGACTCTATATTTTAGGGAAGAAGCTGGAAAATAAATGAATACTCTAGCTCAGCAGGAGAAAAGGCAGACTGAGAGACATCACCCATTGCAAGCTGGTTTTGGAAGCAAGCAGCTTACATGTTCTGGCCAGAAGCTACCAAGCTCCCTTTTCTGTTAAAAGGGACTAGCTTGGTATTTGATGAGGGCCTGCTGATATGAAGAATTCCCATATTTTTCCATTTCCCATCTTCACCAAAGCTCTTTGAGGTAGATCCCATCACCACCTTCATTTTGCATATGTGGAAGCCAAGGTTCAGAGAGGGTAAGCTACTTACCTGGAGTCACAGGTATTAAGTAGGGGAGCTGAGATTCAATGTCAAGTCTGCCTTAAGCCTTGGGCTATGTTCTTTCCTTTAACCTGGCTAGAAGCCATTGTCAACTACTGCTAACAATTGAGCAGCAAACACTCATAGAGTGCTTTAAATTTCATTTATTTTTTTAGCTAGAGGGTACCTGTGCTCCAAGAGAGAGAGAAAGAGAGGGAAAGGGAAAATGAGAAAGTACTCTCGTAGGGGATGGTCATGTTGCAATCCTTTCTCCTCCATCTCTCTTCCTTTTGGGATTTTGGACACACATGCACATGTGCCCAGTGTGTCTTTCAGGCTGCCAGATCTCAGATTCAGACTGCCAGTTAGCCATGTGGAATCCAGCTGCCTTAACCACCACACCTTGGGCTGGCCCCATACAGTGTTTTTTATTAACAGTCAAGTGACAGACTCCAACACAAATACTCACTGAGTACCTGCTATGTGCCAGGCAAAGGTCTAAGCACTGGGGACCTATCAGTGAACAAGACAGATCACTCCTTGCCTTTGTGTGGTGATGATTGACCAAACACTGGGAAAAAATGACAATCTTTATTGATTATAATGAAGGAAAAACAGATGAGATAGACAGGGGTGGGATGGTATGGGAGGTATGCTGTTTTTTTTGTTTGTTTTTTAGAAGTTTTTGCCTTAAGGTGTATCTGCTTGCTGTAGAGAGAGACACACACAGACAGTGAGAAGGAAAGTGAGAAGTCACCCCCCAGGGGAGGTAGCCACACCACAATCTCTTCTCCATTCTCCTCCCAGGATCTTGGGCATGCACGCACATGCACCTGGTGTGATTTTAAAGCCACTGGGTTTGGGACTCAAACCAGTGACATAACCTCTGTGCCATCTGCTTGTCTCAGGAAGTGTGCTGCTTTAAATTACTTGGTCAGGAAAGACTTCTTCTGAGGTGAACACTCAGCTAAAGCCTGGAGGATGGGAAGGAGGTAGCTAAGCAGAGAGCTTAGGGAAGAGCATTCTAGGTGGAGGGAAGAGCAGGAGCAGAGGCTCTAGGACAGAAACACTGGTCTAGCAATAGAAGGAAACTGGAATCTGTCAAGTGTAGAAAACAGGGGAAGAATGGAGGAGAATAAGGTCAAAGGGGAAGGTAGGTCATTCTGTAGAGTAAAGCTTTTTTTTTTTTTTAAGTATTTATTTATGGGGAGGTTTTTGCTATAGAGCCCTTGCGCTCACCAGAAAGTGAGAGACAGAGGAACAGAAAGCAAGAAATCACCCCCCAGGGGAGATGGCCATGTCACAATCCCATCTCCTCCATTCTCCTCTCGGGATCCTGGTCATGCATGCACACATGCCCAGCATGAATTTAGGCCACCGGGTCTGGGACTCGAACCATGGCCAACTACATGGGAGTCAACAATATAGCCATTACTCCATCTGCTGGTCCCTATTTATTTATTTTAATTTGACCAGAGAGAGAAAGAGAAAGGGGAAGTGAGAAAGTAAGCCACCAGCTCCAGGACTTGAACCACAGTCGGCCATGTGGGAGTCCAGAACCCTTAACCATCATGCCACCTGCTGGCCCCAAGTAAAGCATTTTTATTTTTATTTTTATTTTTATTTTTATTCTAAGGGCAATGGGGAGTCACGGAAGAATATTAGATGAGGAATTATGTTGTTTGGCTTATGTTATCAAAGCTTTCTCTTGAGAACAGACTGTAGGGGACAGAAGAGGAAGCAGAGCTATGGGCTAGGAGACAATTTCCTAAGTCCAAGGAGAACCTATGGTTGTTGGGACTAGCATGGTGGTGGTAGAGATGGAGAAGAGTAGTCAGACGTTGACATGGGTGTTAGAAGTAGTACCATGGGCCAATTATAATACATCTACAGCTGTGCTGTCCAATACGATAGCTGTGGCCACTGTCACTATTTAAATTCAAATGAAATAAAATTACTATTCTGTTTCTCAAGTCACACTAGCCACATTTCAAGTGCTCAGAAGTGCACTAGAGGCTGAGTGTCGGACAGCACAGGTATAGGGCCTTTCCAGCACTGTAGAACATTCTGCTGTACAGTGCTGGTAAAGCATCTAGGACAGTGGCCAACACATTTTAAGACTTGAATAAATTATAGATTTTAAGTATATTTCTTATGTCACTAGGTCTTTTTTTTTCCCCCCATGTATTTACTTGTTTAACCAACTTTTATTAAATGCTTCTACTTTATTAATAATAAATAAATGTCTTTGCTTTATTAAAGCAAGATTATGTACTGGCTGGTTTTTATATGCTACTTCTTTGCTTGTCAGATGTATGCATTACTTCAACAGTTTTTTTTTTTTTAATTTTTAAAAGAATTATTTTAATTAGGGACCAGCAGATGGTTACATCACTGGGCTTCCACATGACCAGCCACAGTTCAAGTCTTGGACCCAGTGGCTTGAAATTCATGTCAAGCGTGTGTGCGTGTAGGCCTAAAATCCCTAGAGAAGAATGGAGGAGAAGGGATTGCAGCATGGCCATTCCTCACTTTCTGTCTCTCTGGCTAGAGCACATGCCCTATAGCAAAAATCTCTCTTAGAAAAAAAAAAAAAA